TCTCGTTTAGATTGCTTCGGCTAAAAAACCGCTTGATCTCAAATCGAGTATTTCGAGCTGCATATCGCTAAATCGAAACTTCAGAAAATCATAACTTCCTCATACGAAGTCAGATTTGGGCATTCTATATATATACAGAAACCTCGTTTCGGCCACTACAACTTTATGCAAATATATTGAGTTTATTTTACACTTAAATTTTGACGCTTATTTTATTCTTAAATAATCAAATCACATAATTAAGCAATTAAGCACGAAACACATAATACACAAATAATACGCTCTTATTATTTCAAAACGGGTTACAAAGGTTAACCTAGACTATTACATCAACGAAAATGCCTAGCCTGGAAACGCGGGCGTTACAATTCTCTCCACCTTAGAATGATTCCGTCCTCGGAATTACACATCGACAAACAAATTCGGATAGCGACTCAACATGTCACTCTCCGTTTCCCAGGTGAGATTTGGCCCATTTGAATGTTTCCAACGAACAAGCACTAATTCGACCATCTTGCGTCGAAGCTTCTTAGTCTTTCGGTCAACAATTGCCTCTGGTTCTTCAATTAACCTCTTGTTTTCATCAATTCTCAATTCAGAAATTGGAATTATATCAGGAACTTCTCCCGTGAACTTCCTCAAATAACACACATGGAAAGTGTTATGAATACCACTCGGTTCTTTTGGTAGTTCTAGCTTGTAAGCTTGGTTTCCAATCCTCTGAAGAACTTTAAACGGTCCAATAAACCTTGGACTTAACTTTCCCCTTTTACCAAATCTTATAAGTCCCTTCCACAGCGAGACTTTAAGCAAAACCGAATCTCCAACCTCAAAAGTCATCGGTCTTCGCTTCTTGTCAGCATAGCTCTTTTGACGATCTTGAGCTGCTAACATTCTTTCCCTGATCACTTTCTACTTCTCAGCAGTTTGATGGACCATCTCGAGACCCATAAACTGCTTTTCCCCAACCTCAAGCCAACAAGACGGCGTACGACACTTCACAAAATAACACTGTCCACACGTCTGCACAATAGATGTCAATCCACATTTGAACCTAGCTCTCTCTCTCTGTGTGTGTGTGTGTGTGTGTGTGTGTGTGTGTATATATATATATATATATATATATATATGTTCAAGTTCATTTGAGACCATACTAATTTTGTGAGACCGTGAGACGCAATCTAAAAATAATTTTAAAATGCAAAATAAACGGAAAAATCCGAAAATTCTTTTTTTTTTAGTTATTATTTTCGTCACTTTTTTTACCTAAAAAATAAAAAGTAAATAAAATTACTGTATTTTTTGAAAAGTACGTGAAAGATTCTAATAGAATATTACACAGTAAATATTCCAATATAGTTTTAAGAATGTTAGAATATTCTATTAGATTTGTGAGATATGTAGAATATTCTAATATTGTATTAGAATATGTAAAAAAATCGTGTTTTATGTATTTTATTTTTGTTTGGTATTTTTTTTTTTTTGGAAAATATAAATGATGAAAATAATATTTAAAAAAATTTCAATTATTTTGCATTTTAAAAGTATTTTTTTTTTATCTAAAAAATGAGTGGTTAGTACTGTGTGTCAGGGTCTCACAAAATTAAGTCGTCTCATATGAAACTAACACATTTTCTCTCTCTCTCTCTCTCTCTCTCTCTCTATATATATATATATATATATATATATATATATATATATATATATATATATATATATATATATATATATATATATATATATATATATATAATGTCGATGTTCCCTCGTAAGGTGACTGTTCATTTTTGTTGTACTATTTCCAGATAAAAATGGGTGATTCCAATTCGTGTTACAACATTTACCGAATATAATAATAGATGTAAAATAAATGACAAATTAAATATCTTAATATTTTTGTTTTTATAAATTTTATATTAGTATAGTAAATAAGATTAAATTTTATTAAATTAGGATTAAATATGATACATCTCACTATTTAATTTGGTAAGTAGATTTATAGGAATAAACAATAGAAAGATATTTAATTTCTCTAAATAAATATCTCTAAAAATAACAATTTTGTTTATGGTTATATAGATTTTCATATTTTGTTTAAATATATTTTTGTTTAACAGTTTTCAACTTTCATATTTTAGAAGTTACGATTTTAATCATTCATTATATTTTAAGTCATATTTTTTTATTTCTTACATAATTTGTTTTATATATTTGGTTTTTATTAATTTCAAAAGAGTTTCTTTAGACAATGGGCGTATCAACTTAAATACTAGTTGTATATAAAGTGTATGATATGATATCTGTATTATCTTCATTTTATTTTTTAAGATTATTTACTGTCCAAAAATAAAACTATAGAATCATTCTATTCCATCTTAGCCAAAGATATGATAAGGCCAAATACAGATTCGTTCTACGACAATTTTATCATAACTTGCGATGCCAACCTGTCTTCCAGCAAACGTACTATCAAAACAAAAGGGATCCCCACATTTTCCCGCTTTTATGTAAATTAGTAACAAACCCCTTGCACTTTATGATAATGACAGGATTGCCCTTTTACAATGTCCACACTCCACAATCCGATGTCAAACATACCTTCAGCTATTAACTGGTTATATACTTTAATTATAAAGATACTTCATGTCGTCATGGCATCTATACAATATTATACTTCATAGTATAAATCTGAAATAATGAATATTGATCCTATAAAATTTCTTTATATAGTGTAAGTGAGTCGAACTACTCCTAAGTTATTCTGGATCAACTCGTTAAATTTCGAGTCGATATTGAATTAAACGAGCATGAGCCGAGCTCGAGGCTAAAAATGTGGCTCGTTTATAAAATGAGCTCGAGCCGGGCTTCAATCATTGAGCCCGTGAGCCTAAACCAGCTTATATATAGGGCATTAGTAAAATAAAAATAATAGTAATATACATTATTATTATTTTTATATATTAAAATAAAAAAAATATTTGAGGATTTAGGGATATAGGGTATTAGTAGGGATGAGTAAAAGGACCGAACCGGCCGGAACCGGACCCGATTCGGGAACCGGCTTCGGCCAAAATCAAGAACCGAACCGGCCCGGCGGTGTTACCGGTTTCCGGTTCCTACTGGTTCTTGTCGTGTCTTCAAATGTTAGAACCGGTCCTTGAAAAATAGCACCGTACGGTTCCGGTTCTTACCGGTTTCTAGTTCCAAAAATCCACATAAATAACGTCCTGGTCCCGGCCCGACCGATTCCAGTGCCGGTTTTGGCCGATTCCCCAGTCCATATGCTCATCCCTAGGTATTAGTAAACGAGCTTCTTAATGAGTTTGAACCGAGCTTAAGCTTATTTAAACTCCTCATATAAAAACGTACTGATCTCATGCCTGAGCCGTCCCTGTTCAATTTTTCACGAGCTCGAGCCGAGTTCGGTGCAATAAAACTGGAATCGAGCTGAGCTCGAGCTCGCCATAACTTAAACGAGCCCGAGCTGAGCCTGACCAAGCTAGGACTCGACTTGTCTCGTTTACACCCGTATTAATATATATGTCAAGAAATGTAGATTGCTAGTCGTTAAATGATTGACCATAAAGAATAATGAAAAACTTCAATTAAGGCACATGAGATTTTGTTTGTATATACCATATACTATATATTACTTGAAAGTAGGAAAAAGAAAGTGTAGGGGGCAAGTGATACTTTTCTCAGTTTACATTTCAATCCCACCACATTGGAACTTATCCAAAAAATCATTGGTTAGTTGTTTTCGTTGCATATAGCCGACAAAAAGACTGTTTTCATTAGCAACAGGTTTCACATCCACTATCAATATTTTAATATGCTTAGATGGTGTTAGTTATATATATGATTGTATATTTTAAGTTTAATGTAAATAAAAAGCCTTTATCCTTGTACTTTTAGAAAAGACTTTTCTAAAGAAAGAGATGGAAACGCAGCGATCCATGATATAGACCTTTCTTTCGCCCCGTATGCCGGACCCATGATCCGGAACTTCAAATCAGTTGGGTTTTGACCCGCAAAAAAACACCCGAACGTGAAAACCCGACCCTTATCGGATGCAGGAATCATCTTGTATACATGATAGAGCATGAGAGGGCCATCGGGTTGCAGTTTCTGACTGCATTCGCGTACTGATCATCCAAATGACCTTCATAAAGATTCTTAACACGCTATCTTTAAGTAGTGTGGGTTGAATGCAAATGAAATATTATCATTTCAAATAAAACAGTAGCAACTAGAAGGCATATCTACATAACACGCTTCATCAAAGCCTTACCCATCAACTCTTTTTCTCAACCTTTCATGGCGACACCGAGTTTCGCCGACATAGGCCAAAAAATAAGAATGTCGACAAGTCATCCAAATGATATTCATAAAGATTCTTAACAAGAACACAATAACTTTTTTCTTCGTACATAACAATATATATATGTTATAGAGTTGTATAATATAATAGGATGTTCTTACAAAAGAAAAAAAAAACACAATCAAACAATTTCTTACACAACAAGAAAAAGCACCCTAAGAACGACAAAAAGCGTCGCAAATAGTTAAGAAAGTCGCCTCTAAGGATATTAGGGATGGCAAGTCGTCTCAATTGGGTCGCCGCAAAGATTCCAAAGTCGTCCCTGAAGGCGTCGTCTCTAATACATATCGTCGCTAATACCAGTCGTCGTCCTTAAAGCTGTCGTCCCTAATAATATTCCGGTAACCGGCCAATATTATTCCAGCCAAATATTCTGGCGGGATGTATCGTCGCTAATTCTTAAGATCGTCCCTAAATGTGTCGCCACTAATGATTGTTGTTTTAGATAAAATTTATATTTTATGTTAGTTTATATTATAAAAATGAAATTTATAAAATTATAAAACTTATAATTTAAAATTTTGCATTACATAAAACATCAAATAAAATAAACAAAATATATCACATTAACATCATCTAAATCCATAATAACATCATCCATAACATAAAACAATATATATTAATCATCTTCCCTATCATCGTTTTCATCGTCGTTGTTAGTTGCATTGTCGACCTGCATGCTAAATGAGCAGATAATATCTCCAATTGCGGTCACAAACGTCAGATTTTGGAGAAAAGCATTAACACCCACATCCTACAAAGTAAGAATATAAGTTAAAATATATCATTCTATAAAAACAAATTATTCTTACTTAACAGTTAAGTCACAAACACATTAAATCCTTAACAATTTAACAAACTACAAAATTCATAACAATTTAACAAACTAACATTATTTTAAATCAAACCATATACATTTTTGCAATTTAAATAATATATACTCCTATATAGTTGCAACTATGTTATTGAAATTTAAATAATACTCAGTATGCATGCAGTTGCAACTGATGTTATCTTTACACTCCTTTTATCTTAAATCAAACCATATACAATTTTGCAAATATAATATCATATATACACTAAATTAATATATAATCAAACACAATTTTTTGAAACAAATATTCAAATGCACATACATACATATACACTTACCAAATAGATATGCAGTTGCAACTGATGTTATCTTTACACTCCTTTTATCTTAAATCAATCAATATACAATTTTGCAAATATAATATCATATATACACTAAATTAATATATAATCAAACACATTTTTTTGAAACAAATATTCAAATGCACATACATACATATACACTTACCAAATAGACATATACACATACCAATTCAATACCAAATAAAAAATACCAATTATACATATACAAATACACATATACAAAATACCAAATAGACATATACACATTCCAAACATACCAAATAGACATATACACATTCCAAACATACATATACATATACACATATAGACATACATATATATCAAACACATTTTCTTGAAATACAATTTCAAATAGACATAAACATATATGGGATTTCTTATACAAAATAAACATGCAAACATATATCAATTTCATACATACACATATACACAAAAATTGAATGCATCTGTGGTTGTAGAGCTAAAAACAGTGGAACCGGTGGAGAAGTTCGTCGGAGACGGTGGATGTCGCTGGAGATAGTGGTCGTCGTCGGAGACAAGCGACAATAGTGGCGTTGATCTGGTGGTTCAAGAAAGGAGATTAGAGAAATCTCCTTAAAACCACCAAAATCAACAAAATTAGGAAAGAAAGAAAAGAAAGAGAAAGAGAAAAGACAGTGGAAATGAGAAAGGGAAACGTACCTTCACCGATGGAGAAGTTCGTCGGAGAGGTGGTGAGTTGAGTTGGTGATAATCATCGGTGGAGCAACTGGAATCGGGTGAGAAGCTACAAATCCCTCTGGCGGAAGAAGTGGGATGCACCGAAATTCGCTGGAAATGCTTCCTGCCGGAAAAAATGAGAGAAAAATTGAAACCGGAAAGTAATCAGGTTCTGCGACCTGATGGGGAACAAAAGGTACTGGAAGGCGACGCCTTTTGGGATGACTTTGAATCTTTAGAGACGACTATTTATTGGGAAATTCACATGCTCATTTTTTCGCCACCTTTAGCGGCGATAGTGTCGTCACAAATGGCGTCGCCCTTATTGGTGTGAACAATAACTAACCCCATCCGTTCGATCTGGATGTAATCGTAGGGACAAAAATTGATCCGGAGGCATTCACGCGGATCGCCGATCAAACCCTTTAACGACATCCTTATTGGCGACGACAAAAACGCGTATTGTCAAGTGTCGTCTCTAAAACTTCATATCATCCCTAATGTTGGCGTCCCTAATGCTTATACTTATTGTTGTGTTATTTCATTTCATTCACCATCTTTTCACTCATTTACATTCCTCTATCAAGAACTAGACAATGATATTCTTACCAAATATCCTTAATTTTTCATGATGGTCACTTCTAAAAAATATAGTTTTTTAACAAACATCAAAAACAATAATTTTCATATAACACTTATGAGCCTCTCATATTTTAATTTTATGAAATATTATCAAGACATACATGATAAGTTTATGATCAGATATGAGATAAACCTACTTAAATAGAAATTGACTTGTTGGTAACATAGATTTATATTTCATTATAAACAGTAGACATATACCTTTAATAACTACACTTAACGATATTATAAATGAAAATTAATTGCAGATAATGAGAGACAGTTTCGAAAAAGAAAGTTGTAAAATAATTTATTATTTGACAAAAATGAGGTTAATTAATGGGAGGGGGGACGATATTTCAGATGACTTGGAAAGACAACCACCGCAACTGATGCTTGAGGTACAAAAGCCACCACCATTCCCTTTTTGTGCCCTCTTCCACTGATTATTTATATAATTCCTACATCATATACCAGTTTTACGAAATGACTAAATTGTCCTATTATGTTACTCTTTTGACAAAAAATATTTTTTTATCATTTTTTATGTGGAGGAGATGTTTTATATGAATCTCATTAATTTAGAAAAAGTTAAAAGTCTAGGTATCACGTTATATATAAAAAGATTAAAGATAATAAACAAATAATTCTGATAATTAGGTTAACCAGCCCTAATATATATGTAAGGGCACGATTGTAATAAACGACAACAACAGACCAATTTCTTAAGGGAGCCTTCTAGTTATGGGGCATATATATTATACTCGCACAAAAGCAATATACAACCATGCATGTCTATCCATTTCTTCATTTGGAATTTGTAGACGTAGCCTTTTACTGGTGGGGACTCTCCCAAAAGATCTCAACGAAAAACAGCCCCCACCACCGCCGATAACTACCACCACGGCCACCGCCACCTCCACCGCCACCACTACTTTCAATGCTTTAAATCGCCTGATCACGACTTGACATGAATGGGAAATGAAAAACGTCTCATTTCAATCACAACAAACCCATCCAAACCCACCACCACAAGATCCCGATCAAGAGGATAGATCGTCGACGTCAGCGACGAAGTTTGAGTGGGATTTTTCCGTCTCCGCCGTGGTTTCATCCTCCGTTGCCGGTGGAAACATCTCGGACACTCTCGGCGTCGTAGAGGTTAACTCCTCCGGAAACCTCTTTGCCACCGGCGGTATAGCTAGGAAGATCAGAGTTTATAGCTTGAATTCATTGCTATCATCAAGTAGTGTAGAGGCAACATTGTTTGACCATGCTACTGCATGCCATTATTGCATATGTACCCCAGCAAAACTCAGCAGCCTCAAATGGAAACCCGGTTCCGGAAGCCAGGTCATGGGATCCGCCGACTACGACGGTGTTGTCACGGAGTACGATCTTGAGACCAAGATGCCGGTTTACGAGCGCGACGAACACAGCGGCCGGAGGGTTTGGAGCATGGACTACTCCCACTGGGATCCGGTTGTCGGAGCATCCGGTGCCGATGACGGAACCATGCAAATGTGGGACCCGCGCCATGATGGTGGGAAATGTGTGGCTAAAGTGGTGTTAGGGAGTCCAGTTTGTTGTGTGGAGTTCAGCCCGTTTGGTGGCGCATTGGTAGCCGTTGGATGTGCAGATCGAAAAGCCTACGTTTACGATGTGAGGAAAATCGTTGACCCGGTAGCGGTGTTTGATGGGCATCAGAGGACGGTAAGTTACACGAGATTCCTGGATGATCACACGGTGGTGACGTCCGGCACTGATGGGTGTTTGAAGATGTGGGACATAGAGAAACAGCACATGATTCGCACGTATAAAGGGCACACAAACCAAAGAAGGTTTGTGGGATTATCCATTTGGAGAAATCAAGGACTGATTGGATGTGGGTCTGAGAGTAACCAGTTGTTTGTATATGATAAGAGGTGGGGTGAACCCATATGGGTGCATGGGTTCGAACCAGAGGGTGGAAGCAGGTATGAAGATGGGTTCGTGAGTAGCTTATGTTGGAGCCAAGAGAGTGAAGATGAGTGCACGTTGGTGGGTGGTGGTTCCGATGGAGTTGTAAAGATTTTTTCCGGAAAAAGAAAACCGTTAACTTAAAGGTGATTAAATTTCTTTCTACATTTCTTCCTTTGGTGAGAATTAATTACTTTGTAACTTGGGTTTCAATTCATTACATAAATATGCAAATACTTTATCTCGTTGATAAAGAGTTACCGACTTAATTTGTTTTTCTTCTCTATCTTTTATTATCTATATGCTCTTCGAATTTGGATATGCTAATGCTCGTTGATAGAGTGTATCAAATTAAATATGTAAATATGCAAACGTTTGTGGTACTACCTAATATGCAAAATTGCAAACGATTGCGTGGGTTGGCCCAAGGATGATCAAAGTATAGAAGTCTAATTAAGCACGGACTTTGAAATGTTAAGTGCATTGCCAAGTATGTTTGGCAAATTAAGCGATGTATTAGGTCCCTTAACTTGAAGGAGAAAGTTAAGATGCACACATATATACTAATGACTTGATTGATATTATTTATCTTTGGTGACATGAATATTAGCATGTTGGGATGAGAAGAGTAATAATTACTACTAACACATACCAAGCCTTCAAAGCAAAATTGATGAAGTAATTATGAGATAGGAAAACAAATGAAAAGATGCATTGAAGAGTATGTATTTTATTATTTTTATTTTTTTAACCGGCAAATACAAATATATAATTTACTCTTAAACTAACAACTAATTCCACTTATATCCATGATGAGACTTGAATCTGCGACTGTAAAGAAGGAGAACACCACCTGATATCGCTGGGCTAGAAGCCTTTTGATATGTATCCGGCAGAATACAACCTTAAAGCATTGAATAGTACGTATCGGATAGAATACAACCTTAGAGCATTTACATTGAGTATTTACAATGGAACTTATTTTTAAAGCGTTTTTTATTTTATTTTAAATTTGTTACCATAAAATCATACAACTTATTTGTTTTGTTTTTCAATATATTTTCAACAAATTAAGAAACAAAATAATAACTAATAATATAGAATACGTATGACCGATCATAGAAATACGAGACTTAATGTTTGACCATATTTCCACACATTACATTAGGAATTTCTAAAAATGGTTTGTTATTAACATTAAATAAAACTTCATGAAATAGACAAAGTAAATGTTAAAATTCGGAATTTAAAGAATATTTCTGATTCCAATTCTATTAAAAAACTATGTTATAAGATGTAATGTGACATCAATTCAAGTTCAGTCTAGGTTGGTAATTAAGATATTAATATTCTCTAATATCTTCAAATTGACAAAAATATTTTACTCAATGTGACATCCAAAAATTCATGGTCTTTTAATTTTTTTTATTTATGTTATTTAAAAATCAGAGTGTCCATTTTAAAAAATAATATTGCAGAATTTGTTCCCAGAAAGCATGATAAAGATATTATCAAAACATTTCTGAAGAAAAATATTTTGTTTATATTAAAACATTAGGGTGTCATCGTCAATACTAAAACATAAACATAAACAGATCTTATATTCATTTACACTAATGATTTACATCTCCTTTAATCTCTCAGTGTAATGTAGTTTCGTATCGACACCTATCATACAAATAAACCGAGTGGGTCATGTTGGGAAACCTGGTGAGTACACAGAGATTTCAATCCCACAATGTTATATATATATATATATATATATATATATATATATATATATATATATATATATATATATGATGGGATTTAAGCGATACATCATTCATATGGTGTACATGCAAACCCTAATAGCTTTTAGATCTAGTTTGTCTAATGAACATGCAATTGAGTATCTAAAGCTGTAAACCCCAGATCTAACATATTATAAACTGAATTAGGGTTTACAGAAATACCTTTGATTGTTATGTAGTAATAACAATCAATTCCTTGCTTTGATTGGCTTGAGAAATCTTAGTGCCTCAACTGTTGCACTTCTAATGGAGTAACAAACACCATAACCAATAAGGATGAAGGAGGAAGGAGAGAGGAGGAACCAAAAACTGTTGGAACCCCTAAAGGAAGTATTCCCCACATTTTTGCGGCCATAAGGGTTCCTTATATATGTTGGCTATTAGGGTTTACAGCTAGAAAACCCTAATCTGACTACTTAAGCCCTAAACAGCCCATGAGCCCCTTTAAAATATCCCTTGGACGAATTCCTAATGGACTTCCCATAGAATTCGTCCAACCTATTATTCTATGGTGATCCATAGCCCAATTGCAATTATCTTAGAATTACAATTCTAGTACCCTTAAGTTTAATTAACCTCTTTTAGCCACAAAATTAATTATTAATTAATTATTGAGTAATATTAATTGAACAATATGATTTCTCCTTTAATATATTATTCTCATAATATATTAATAAATCATAATTAATTTTCTCTCTCCATAATTTATCCTATCAAGTTGCTAAGGTGAAGGCAACCCAAAAGGACCATGCACCATCGGGTCAAGTACATACCAAAATAGTTATGGACTTAGACACTAATCCAACAGTCTCCCACTTGGATAAGTCTAATAACTATTCTGCATATGACTTCAGATCCTGATCTATAATCGTAGCTTTCAAAAGCTGTTGTTAACTCTGATCCTATCAGAAGCGTGTCCTTTAGATAAGTGATCATATATTCCTCCATTCTAGATATCATATAGACATGAGACATGGATTGAAATCATTCTCTTAGTCTATGTGTTGTTTCATGATTTCCGATTTATGACGACTGACAACAAACTATAATTGAACACATCAA